TATCTAAAACGGCAATTTTTTTAAATATTCCTGGTACGTCTTAAACGCCGCGCCGTTAGAATTCTATTACGAGTATCACAACGGTATAAAAATGGCGTGCGTAACTCAATTGGGTAAATTCTGGCATGAAACTAAAAATTTTACTGATACTTCGTAAAGAGCATGAAATTAAAAACTGTTAAAACTTATAAGGACCACTTTCATTATGATATTTGAAACCTTAGTCACTAAAATAATTTGTTTGTGAGTGTGTCTGTGTGTTAGTCCTTTACGCTGTAACGCCTCGACAGATTTGAGTGAAATTTAGAATGGAGATAGATATATTAAATACATGCTACTTTTTATTAAGAAGAACAAGACTAAGTTGAAAATTAGTGATATTACAAATGCAAAAATGTGATCCATAGTTGTTAGAGAACAACATGAAATAGAGATTTCAAAACCAAAACAATGCATAGACTGATATTCATCTATACATATAATAAAATTGTAACTAAGTTTAATCTGTACATTAAATATTTTTTGGGATGTCTAATTGAAATAGATATTATTATCGATACAGAGACCGAATCTATAGTTTTTAGAATTTTTGTCTGTCTGTCTGTCTATTACCACATCACGAGAAAACCACAGGACAGATTTTGATGAAATTTGGCATGGTGATAACTGGTTATCCGGGTCAACATATAGGATACTTTTTACCGCGGGAAAATATCTCATTTCTGAGAAAAATTACAAAAACTGCATTGTGATAGTATACTAATATGTAAAACCTAAGATTTTGGTTTTTAGTTATCTGAACGCGGGCGGAACCGTGGGCAATGCTAATCTAGCCTATAATTTAATTGGAAATTTTTATTTACGGTACATTATGCACAGTAGTATATACAATACAAGCGATTTATCCTCGCTTCGTTTGGGAGCACACACGTTCATAATTTCATGGGTTTTAATTTTTTCTAGGAAATCCTAATTCTTTCTCTAAAATAAAAGCAACCTACGTTATTCCTTATAACATTAGCTATCTGCCAGTGCAAGTTCCGTCAAAATCTGTTCACCCGTTTTGGAGACTGATAAAATTTTTAATAATTGTTTTTCAACCGACTTCAAAAAGGAGGTTCTCAATTCGACTGTATTTTTATTTTCTTATGCTAAAAAGCTGTTATTTTGACATTACAAACAGACACTTCAATTTTATTTATTATTATAGAATATAGATATATCCTATATAGGGGAGGGGTATTTACGAAGCGGGGGTGGGCCAATATTGGCACGCTTAGACTAAAAAGATTACTCAAAGCTGATTCGCAAGGTCGCTTGATCGACCAAGAAGCCGCCACTTACGGTTTTTGTAATCCATTCTAATAATATATATATGAAAGTATATCTGTCTGTTTGTTACCTTTACGCTTCGTTTTAAACGCTGAGCAGATTTGGATAAAATTTGGGGAGAGATATAGGCTACTTTTCACCTCCGCTCTATATAACATGCGACCCGCGTCTTGGGCAAATATTAGTTTTAGCTATAGAAATATTGAAGTATATAAAAAAATCTACCGTATAAACAATTAGAATCATAAATTGTAAAATTGTGAATTAAGTTTAAAAAATAAACCATATTGAACTGATATTTTTTTCTAAAGAATATTATTATAAAAGGACACATACACCAATGGAAATGTAAGGGTGTATGGATGTACACATGAATGTATGTTTGTTACTCTTCCACGCAAAAACTACTGAAGGTATTTTTGACATCATTCATCAGAATTGCACATATCTGAAATCTATTTTTTGTTTCAAAACTATAACCTAATGGGTTTGGTTATAATGGGTTTTTATAATTTTTGAGTTTTAGCGAAACTAACGAATAGTAATTGATATTGGCCAGTGGACGAACGCTACTATTATTGGAGTACTAGCGACTCACCCTCGCTTCGCTCGGGTTCGTCCTTAGGTTGATTTCCCATACAAACATTCATCCCCATTTTCAAGCCCTTAAGGGATGATTTCCGGGATTAAAAGTGTCTTATGTCATTTCCATGGTCTTAAACTATCTTCTTACAAAATTTCATCTAAATCGGTTCAGTCGATCCAGAGATTACCTCCTACAACGTCATAAACTCACAAACTTTACCTCTTTATAATATTAGTATAGAAAAAATCGATTGCTTGATTTATTACAATATTTTAAATTATTTATTGATATTTGTACTAAATAGCTTGACTTTGATCGAAATTAAAACATAATTTGAAAAGAAAATATTCATATGAACGCGCCTAAAAATCATTATTTTCGGTCAAATTTCCTTTCCGCCATTTTCCCGTTTCCACGCGATGGCGGCGACCTTGTGACGTCACCTCTCGGTTATTGATTCGGGCCATGTGGTCTTAACTGACTGTGACAAGAGAGGTTAAGTGTTTCAAATTTAACATATAATTTTTTTTATTTAAAGATAGTATTTTATAACATAATTTCCATTGCTATTTTTATGTAATATTAGTATTCTAACATATTGTGTTATTCAATCAGTGACATAATTAAATTAAATTTAAATGTTAATATTAAAAGTAAATTAAATAAAAATAAATAAATAAATAAGAGGTAAATAAATAAATCGTTTACTATATGTTTAATACGATAGAGCTACAAATCAATCGCGTTTCCTACTTACGTTATGGATCTTTTATATCGTGTGTGGTCTGAGGTATGAAAAAAATTATTAAGATTTATAAAATTTGTTTATTAAAATATATTTTTATACTAGGTGCTTACCATTGTTTCGCTCACGCCTAAAGTTGCCAAAACTTTGAGCAACTTCATGACATAGTCTATCTGTGTACAAAAATTTCATTTAAATCGGACCAGCCGTTTTATTGTAAAGGAATAACAGATATACGTACACAAATACAAACTTTCTCTATTATAATAGTAGTCCCATAATATATTGTAAAATTATGTACAAGAAATGATTTATTTCTAACGTTATCTCTACAAATAATAAAATTCTGAGTCGAATCTGTACATTAAATATTTTTGGAAATTCTTATTGAAATAGTCATTACTATCGATACCAAGGCCGAAACTATAGTTTTTAGAATTCTTGTCTGTCTGTCTGGAAACGCATCTCGAAAATACCTCTGGAAGGACTTTGATGAAATTTGGTATGATGTAAGCTTTAATGTAAGATTCGGGTCAACATATAAGATACTTTACTGCGAGAAAATATCTCATCTCTAAGAAATCTATAGTAAGCGTTTACACGTAACTAGGGACGAACCCGAGCGGAGCGAGGTTGAGTCGCTAGTTTTAAATATATTTTTTATCTATATCCGTATGTAATAATGTAATTGGTATTTAATTATTATTTATTAGAGAAAATATTTTATATCAAGCAATTATGAAGCAAATAAATACGATAGAAGTGGTATCAACGTGTAATGACTCATTCTACTTAGATATTGCGACATTATGGGCCTATACAGTAAATTTTTTTAACGAGTATTAATATTGATTAATTTTAATGATTGACTTAGCTCAATATTTGATATAAGTAAAAAACGCTTATTCTTAAATTATAATAACAAGCAATAAAATAACAGAAGCCATAGTATCGATTTAGTTAGAATTAATAAATGTATTATAATAAAATAAATAAATTTATATTTTATACGGAAAGAACCCGCGTAAAATGAAAATTGACATAACCGGTTGACAATATTTTCCGGGGTCATTGACCCAGCATCATCGTGACGTAACATCGAAATAAAACATGGTGAGAGAAAAAAAAATCGTTCATCAAATTGCCAAAAATGCAAGCGACTAAAAATTCTAACTAGAGTTCAATAGCTTTTCACCGAAATCTACTTTGTTTGGGTCTCGGGGTCAACGACATTGTGTGACGCCGACGCGTCTGTGTGCGCGCGCCGCGTCCGTACAACGACACGCACACATCGATAGCGTATATGACATCGGCCAGCTAGCTTATTTTATATCTTAATTACTCGAACCTAGCAAATATTATCCTACTTCTAATTACATTTTTCGGACGTTGGCCATCCTGCCTTTATCGTGTTACACCCGTTATCCCTTAACGGGCGAATTTTGGGCCAATTTTCGCCGGTTCTGACCGACGGGGGTACTGAACTATCTAGCGAAGTTTATTCGGCCGAATGAAAAAATATATAATTTTTCGTTAGCCCGGCTCGAAGATTCGTCAAGGCGTCAGTTTGGTTCGAGCCGTCCCGGCGTCGAGATCTTCAGTCGCTAACGCGAGGCCGAGTTGTGAACAACCTATAGTACAAAAAAAAACGTACAAATTTTCCTTACAGTGAGGTGAACACATTCTTTTTTAAGTGACAGTGCCTTTTTAGTGCGAGTGACCAAATCTTTTACAATGGATCATTTACCCAGATCTGACCGAGCACGTTTTAAAGTAATAAAACGATTTTAGATTACTGACTCGGTTGGTTTGCTAAAATCGGTATTATTCAACAAAATATCGCTCTTTCTTGAAACGTTTAAACTTTTTTCCCTGCTTTGTTTTTCTTTTTACAGATTTTTGTGTTTCATTAATTAGTATACGGGATCAAGTGATTAATATAAATATAATAAATAATACAGTGCCTTAGTAGAATGTTTATATAAAGTAGACGAGAAATATAAAATAGAGACGACGGCGACAAAATGTCAAAAAACTTGATACTTTTCAAAAAGTTAATCCCAGAAATAAACTTCGCGAAAAGAAATCTTACATCGCCGCTCGGCCGGAACATATTTATCAGTTAATATTGGGGTGCTTAAATTGATGAGACGGTGCCATAAAATTTTTCGAAAAAATCTTATGGTGTGAAGAGTTGCCTTAGACAAAGTCGGAAAAAGAAAATAATTTAATACAAGGAACACCAATTTAAGTGATACTAGTTAGGCCGAAATGCGAATACGATTCGCGAAGGTTCTTAATTATTCGAAAGTCACTTAAGAAGTTGAGTTAAGAAGAATGATGAATAACAGCCAGTTCCACGAGCTGTTTGGATCTCAGTGGCCCCCTGATCAGCATGGGGGTCACTCGTCAGCATCCACTATGCTGCACCAGGGTCAGAATCTGCCACAAGGTATGCAGCTTAAAAGGGAACCCCATACTGAAGTTCAGGGGGTGATGCATAACCAGATGGGGATGGATATCACATCAGCGTCCGTTGCAGACAGTACTTCACCCCCACCAGGAAATAGTGACGGAATGTTCGGTTCGTCTCTAACAGGGATGTTCATGGACAAGAAAGCTGCCAACTCTATTAGAGGTAAATGTCAGTGTTTTTTTTTTCTTTTCAATTTTTTTGTTTTTTTTATTTATAAATGTAAAGGATTTTGTTTTTCAAAATTATTTTTAAATTGAATTATAATTGATTTCTTTTCATTTTCCAGTACATTTATAAAAGTAAATCCTTATAATATAAATTTATACGGAAAACTTACGAGTTGTAAAAAAGATTTAATTCTAACATGTAATACTGCATGATGAAACACTTCGATAGTGGTCGATTTTCTTTGAAAATGTTCTCTACATTGTGATAAAAGCTCTACAAAACTTTCAGTGGTTTCACTTAGCTCTATAACGCTACATCCTTACACCAAAGCGTTATGTAACTGTGCGTGAGGCTAATATTGATCTTTCTCTACTGTAAGACAGTGCTCCATTAATTATTTTATTTAATCTGCTATTTAGATACTTTATTATTTATTTATTATAGACCAGCCTGTATATTTTTTAAATTAAGGATGTCCAAATATATTATGATTTGTTTATTATAGTAATAAATGTGTAACATAACATATATTACTAATTTATAATTATAATTATATAATATATAATAGTAAGAGGTAGGTATAAAGAAACATAAGTAACTGAGCTGATATAAAACCTTCTTATAAAAAATTTGCATGCACAATCTATTATTTCATAAGCCAATATTTAGATATAGGTACATCACTTTTCGTCAACTGAATACATCCAAAGTTCTTATTTACTTTACTATCAATAGCGCGTGTTCTAACTAAATATTTAATAACTTTATTAAATAAAAAAGGCGATAATTAAGCTTCTATAATATGATGATAATTTGGCATTTAAGTATATTCCTTTGCTTATTTCAACTTTTTTTTACATATTCACACATAGAGAGGGCAAAGACAAATATCGAAAAAGCCTTGTTTAATTTAATAACATATATTCTTAATAGAGCCTTAATCCAGAAAATTTAGGCAAGAACGATTGAAATCTATATAGGTTGGTAATATATGAATATAGAGCTAATAAGTAATAATAATATTCGCAGTAATTAACAAGTAAAGGACGTCATGTGCCCTAAAAATTAGGTACTAATAGTTCATTATCTCAAATGGTCTCAATTGCTTGTGCTAGATATTTTTTCCACTATTAGGTTTTTCTTTGTTCGTATTCGTGTTAATTGTCCAAAAATTTGGGTTAAAATGGCAGATTGCATTTTGTAGTAATGATTTAAAAATTTAGGTCAGCATTTATGTCATTATTTGTATTAGAAACGTTAAATGTAGAACTTGTCATTTCTTTGTTTTAATAAATATCTGTCTTATATAAAATTTTCTTAAAAATTAAATTCTTAAAAATTTCTTAAATTTAATTAAAAACTTGATTGTATTTGAATACTCTTCTTAAAATTATAAAAAACAAATGTGACTCATTACATCCATACATATGTATATGTAGTCCATAATACAATTCCAAAAGTCATATATAAAATTCTCATTGGACTTTCAAATTCAACTCTAATGTAAAGTATTAAAGTGTAATATCCAACGAAATAATATGTACTTATTACATCTTAACACCAAATGTGAAATGCACGTGTCAGATTCGTGGGGTGAATGCACTTGACACAATTTGCACTTTGACTTGCGGTTACTCAATCGTTTTACAACCATCTGTACTGGAGATCCATTGAGAGTTTATATATAAATATTTCGTCAAAACTATGTACAGACTGTTTAGAAATGCTTTTAATGTCTCGTTCGTATCAGTTGTTCGCTAATTTTTCATAAGTAAAGAGAAATTTGCTTATTAGAACTTTTGTTAGAGTAATGAGGCCTTTAGAGAAAGCCTTCATATGATAAAGGCATCTTTATATGATAAAAATGTATCGATTCGAAAATAGTTTTTTTTTTAAATAAAAGGTTTGAATATAATATCGATATTTTTAATTTTTTATTTTTCAGTATGTACATATTATCTGAATTTATAAAAACGTGAAGTAAAAAGTCGTCGACACTGTCTTGTCGGTCGACGAACTGTGATGTGACGTCACATTGTCACTTTTGTTTTAGGGTGTAATGAATCCGCCATTTTGATCAAAAAGTCTTTTGATAAATTTTGTTGAATTAATAAATAATATCATTTTATGAACTCATTAAAATAATTTAAGAAAATGGAAGAAAATTCTTGATTAACTATTTTTTACGATGAATGATATGAGTTTGTAATAGTTAATTAATAATTTAGAAGTTATTAATTAAATTGTTTTTTTTTTCGAATAGCCGTAAAAACTTTTAATAAAATGAACTATACTAAGTTCTATTTGATATTAACTAATGAAAAATTTAACAAAAACTACTTACTCGATTGGGCTGTTTAAGTGTAAGTTATGTACACTGTACAGAGAGAATGAATTAAAAAAAAACATACCACAATAGAGGTCAACGTCCTAGTGACGTCACACAACGTCACTGCAAATTACGTTCAGTTTCGATAACATTGATATTAGGTCATTGTCGTGGCTAGGACATGTGAGGGACCTAGATTATGCTTTTGAGCACTACATTGATACCTTTAAACCAAAGATGAAGTTTGAGATTCGATTTCTGTCTAAAGCAATTTGTGTATATATCACATAGCTTATTCCAGCTTTAACAGGTTGCAAGCAGTTGTGTAATAATGCCAGTCAGTAGTGTCTTGGGATCAGAAAATGAACGTGTCGTGTAAAAAGGTGCCTTTTTTAACAGGTTTCATTTTTTTTTAATATGGCTCTACCTATATTTCAATTATATTTTTTTAACGACGGGGTGTGTGTCTGTCTGTGGCATCGTCGCTCCCGAATGGATGAACCAACTTTGATTTTTTTTTAATGGTGAATTAGTCGGGAGTGTTCTTAGCTATGTTTGATGAAAATCGGTCCAAGATGGTCGGAGCTTTTTTCAATTTTTAATTTATACTACTGACTGTCAGATAACATAGTGTAAGCTTCTGAGTTATTCTGAGAGCTTCTGAGTTCGATTACTGGGTGAACACTAGTATATTTATAACATAGTGGTACAAAGACGCATGCTAATATTCCTTACTTGCACGATGTAAGCGTGTATGTACTCTTGTAACAAAACGTCGTTACAAAACTGACAGCTTCAAGTTGACATAATTTTTGACATTTTTGTGTTGTCTGTTTGTATGTATATAGTTTATTATAACTAGAAAATATAACTGACACCCATTTATCTACTTTGTTAATTAATAGTAAACAGTTTTGGTACTAAATTCTTATACTTACATAAGGATTACTGTATGTTTGTTATTACTCCTTTACGCTGTAACTGCTAGATGGATGTGGATAAAATTTTAGCTCGAGGGAGGTTGAAGCTAGGGTAGTTCACTAGTATATTCAAAAAGTAAAATATAATACATACACGTGGACAAACATATATTTGTTTTAATTATTATATTTTTAAGTTAAAGGAGTTCAGTAACCTCATGACGACGTCAGCTGATCAACGGCCAAAACTAAATATAATTGGAGCCCACGATCGATGTAAACACAACTATAAAGCTATAGAAATTAAAAATATGTCTCAAAGCATGGGTGTCAATAAGATAGGTATATATTTCCCTGAAAAATTTTGGGTTTTTATTCATGTATAGGTATGTTAACTAAGGGTAATTATATCTATACATATTATAAAATAAAATCTGTCCCACCGTGTCTGTCTGTCTGTCTGTCTGAACGAGATAAACTTGTAATTGAACGCGGATTATATCATAGCGATTCGCGATCGAAAAGAAGAGGTAAAGTTTAGATGAAATTTGGTAAGAAGATAGTCTGAGACCCTGGGAAGGACATAAGATACTTTTTATCTCGGATATCACATCTTAAGGGGGTGAAAATGGGCATAAAAGTTTATATTGGGAAGCAAGCTATCGATGAACCCGAGCGAAGCGAGGGTGAGTCGCTAGTTGTTTATATAATACTACATCATATATGTAAAAAAGAAATTGTACCCGCTTTATTTGTATTTTATCTTTTTCCTAACAATTCCAAATTTTAAATGACGTATAGTTCGACACCTGCAAAAAATATCTAAGTATTGCGGCAATTTCAAATTTGGACTTAAATACTTTGGACTAATAAATATGTTTTTTTTTTATTATCGATATTGAGTTTCAATATTTTTTTCTTGTGTCACGTCCCTTTATGATCTGGACTTGGCAAAGAGAATAATCCCCAGGTCCTAATATTACATTCAACATATTTACTAAAGTTTATTTAATTTTATAGCCCATTATTATACGTATTTTTTTATATATAAAAGTGGAGGAGTATTAATCATAATATATTAATATAAGTGTGTGAGAACGAACGCCTGATAAGAGAATGCTTAGAGGGAAAGAGAAAGAGAGTCTAATATTTCTGTAAATTTTAAGGTTTTAAAAACCTATAGTATCTTAGTTCTATTAAATATAAATATAAAAAAAATATTATTCAAGTTTCAAGGAGACATTTATGTTACTTTTACAATTAGTCAGTGTTTTATGTTTGTACGTTGTATTTGTAATTCTTATGATGTATCATATGTGTAATCATTTTCAATACTTTTAAATAACTTTTTTCTATCTATAATAATTGATTTTGTTTCTATAATCATATTGTCCCATAAGATATTCATGGAAAATATCCTATTATTTTGTTCCTCATAAAGTAAAAAAAAATTAAACCCCTAAATAAAATTTAATGGCTGTAAAATTTCGGTAACATTAAACTATTCTGAGAACTATTCGAATTTCGATCCTTAAGCGACATAAGTATTCAAAATTTAACTACCCCACTAATTTAGACCTTAGCTCATTGAAATAGATACTAAATGAATGTGATATGTGGAGAAACTTGCGTTGAACGGTATACGTTAGTTCGGACAACTGCGGGCGTTCACCTATGTTATAATATAATACCCATAGCTCTTATTCTATTGGTATAGAGTTGTAATTGCATTGAATTTTTTGTCTATACACAATGTAATAACAGAGTTCTTATTTTCATAGAAATAAGGTTGGCTTTCGGTTGTTTTTTGGGTGTCTCACGAGTACCGTACAGGCCGTCAGATTAAAATTCAAATTCGATGCTCGGATTTGGCCGGGGGCAATGACCTGTGACGTATGTGGGTGTGCGTAGTGATAACGCCGCTGTAACACTAAGATCTGTGCAATTTTTTATGTTATCCCATAATCACATTTTTGATTGTACATCAAAAAAATTTTTAAGCCAATTTTTTTATTTTTATTCGAAATTAATTAATTTTTTTTTAAATAATTTTAATACCTAAATATAAACGTGATTGGAAATATATTGTGGACCAAAAGTTTAGGAATATTCATCCACTTAGCATATTCCATATAAAAAACCGTTGTTTTTATGGAAATAATACTAATAATTTCGATATTGAGGACTGTCACCCAACACGCTTTATATTAAACAAAAAGTTAAATAAAACGATACATGTATGTAAGTTATAGTATAAATTTTTATGATCAAAATCTTCACACGATCTGAATGTAAGAAGTTAAAAATAACGGTACTTCGATTTGTGTTAAAAATGATCAACTTATTTGTAGGGACTTTGGGATTGGTAGAAATGGTAGTGAACTAATGGAGCTTTATTGATTATGACGGATGACGTAGGTTCGACGTTTTCATAATTGTCTTAAAAAAAAAAGAAAAAAATATATCAATTCTTTTTTTTCACAGCCAAATAAAGAAACAAGAAATTTCATATATATTATATAACAATATTAATTTTTAATATATTGGTTAAAATCTATTCGTATGTCAGTCAGTGTACATTTTATGTATGTATGTATATATATGTGAATTCTAAAGGTTAACTAAAGCAACTAGTTGTTTAAAATTCAGAGGACCCACCCTCCCTGTGACGTCACGCAACGTGATACTATTCGGGGTCACTGACCTGTGACGTCAGAACAGCTGACTGGGTGCATCGCACTCGCATTTGCAGTATCGCAGTTGATATTTATCCATTCACAGAGATATGACAGTATAGACGTTTTTTTTTTAAATTTAAATAAACTATGTTTATTTTTTATTAAAATTAATTATTATAGTTAAAAAAATAAAATAAATTGACATAATATCGACAGAGAAGCAAAAATGTCTGAAAATGATATATTCTGACCACGTGACCTAATGCTTAGAATTTTTAGTAAATCTACAATAAAAAAATTGTTCTGTCTTTCGTTGATTTTTACATGATTAGAGTTATACATACATATGTATATAGAAAACATTTTAAGTCAAAAGCAGAAGATCAGACTTTTGAAACGTCTAAAACCTTAGTCTCTCCCGTGACCATGATTGCTGTAAAGCATTCGAAACGTCGGGAACCAAAAATCAAAATAAATCCGCCTAAAAAATCCGAAAAGAGTTTTATTTAAAAAAATCTAATTAGAATTTTTTACCTTCTCTTAACTGTTAGATTTTTTATTCTTAAACGAGTATAAATATTTTATTTTATATTTTTCGCTATACCGGTGTCCATTTGTTATGCAACCTCATTGTTTGTCATATTACAGTTACGCTTTTTAATTACTATTGTTTTGGTAAGAGCGTACTTCCTATTAAAGTGTGTCAGTCAGAATTAGAATGAGTTTCGAAATATCTTTTGAATAAATTAAAATTGTTATGTTGGTATTACCATTTTTTTTAATTTGTTATTTATCTTCATTTAAAAAAAAAAACTAAAAGGTGATTAATTTATAATAATATAACGAAATATATGGATGAAATTTAATTATTTTCAGTAAATGCTATGCTAGATACACTAGTCTCCTAGGTTTATTTTACAAGATAAAAATAGATATTGTGAGTGAACCTTAGGAGATAAATATATGCTATTTCAGACTTTACTTTAGACCTTTTTAAGATCTTAGAGTACGAGTACATTGTTTTGGTATATCTCAAAAGGTTTAGTCAGCGTAAGCCATCTAATCGAGCAAAAATAGTTTTTTTTAAACAAAACACGTTCTAGACTCAATCATTTTGTATAAAATATACACAAATTATATACATAAATCTTCCTCGTTTACCGCTCTTTCTATTAGTGAAAACTGCATCAAAATCCGTTGTGTGGTTTATAAGAAGTAAGCGGAGAAACAGACAGACGTAGAAAGCTACTTTGTTTTATATGTAGTACCTATCTAAATAAGATTTTGAGTTAGAATATGGATTTTGATTTATTTATTTAAAAATATTTTTGTTTTAATAAAATTATTTTTGATATTAAATCGTAAATCCACGCATCAAACCGATTAGTCATTAATTAATTTAATGATTTAAACGATTAATTTCTAATTAGATACAAATTGTTAGAAACTATAATTACGAGGTACCTACACATGTATCATGCTGAAAATGTTTTTTTTGTTTATGTCCTATTCTTTAGGATTTTTGGATTTTTAATTTTATATCGAACACTAGCTGTACCCCGCGGTTTCATCCCCGTTAAATTTGTTTGATTATAAATATCAGTTTTACAGTATTGTATGGAAGTCTGCCCGATTTGTTGACATTTATGATTACTGCTCCGCTCCCTTGAGAAGTAGCACGATGATATGTAACCTATAGCTTTCCTCGATAAACGGGCTATCTAATGCAAAAAGAATTTTTAAATCGGATTTGCAGTTCTTGAGATTAACGCGTTCAAACAAACATACTTTGCCTCTTTATAATATTTTAAATGTTAATATTATATTATTTTAATATAAAACATACGACAGTGTGTAAAAACACCTGTTCAAAATTACGCAATATCTAATAACATATAATTAAAAAGCACTCGATATAAAATCTCGTACAACCATAGATGGATACTGAGGGATTACAATACCATCTGTCACAATAATGTAAGCTATATTCAACCTTACTAACAGAAGATAAAGTTCAAAATACAGTATTTGGTGCTTTACACACACATGGAAGTGGAGTCAATGTCCGCGCTCCGACCTTGCTATGGGGTCATTGAACTCGGCCAAAATTGCCGTTTTGTATGAAAATTTGTAGTCATTCAAATATTTTCATCATTATTTCGTAAAGGCATTGCAAAATGAATTTGGCAATAAAAAAATTTTTATAGTTTAAAAAAAAAACTTATATTTCTTTAAAAAAAATTGCAAAAATATATAAATAACCACTCGATGTACAAATTTACATTTATTTACTGTAAATATTAAGTATTTCTATTAGGTACTGATTGATACTTTAATACTATAATAGAAATTTTATTAATAAATTATCATTTTATTCATTTAAAATTAACATCCGCGCTGTAGTGTTTTCTTTTAATAGACGTAGAACAGACAGATAAGCTGTAGCTAAAAATACGATGACAAAGTTTGTGTTATACACTACATATATGTATGTCTTGTATATATGAAAAAATATGCTGCTTTGGTAAAGTGTACGTATGAGTACCAACTATCTAGATCGTGGGTTCGGTTTTTGGGTAGAGTAATTATACTTATTAAAAAATGTGCTATTATGCCCTTAGAGGAGGAATTTTATTGAAATTTATATGAAACCTTCTTATTATTGCATTAAGAAAAGTATTATAAAAATCGATTCCTAATCGATGAAGATATAAAATATGAAATGAGCATCTTTTATTTTTAAAGCCGGTTAAAAATATAGTGTTCGGCAAACAATATGTTCTTATTTTAAAATAGGGAAAACATAATATAGCCAAACTTTAATATAAAATATATGCACTTTGCAATAATGTTTTTCACCTATTAATATTACAATAGGTATCTTATAACTAAATAACATAACTTGTAATCGAACCTGCACCAAATATTTATAAACCATACGTATCATATGACCATTTATTTTCATTTGTTTAAAATTTGAAATTCAATGCAAGTTGATTTTGTAACGATCTAATTGTTGCAATCCAAACAATGGATTAGAGTTTAATATAAGCTAAAATGTTTTAGTTAAACCTAAGTCAGGAGAATAAATTAATAGGTCGTATTGACAAATCTATACATATAATAAAATTTTGTGTCGAATCTGTATATTCATTTTTTTCTAGAAAATCTTATTGAAATAGTCATTATTATCGATACAGAGGCCAAATCCGTAGTTTTTTTAGATCTTTTGCCTCTTGTGATTTTTGTGGAAATTAAAATTAAAAATATCGATTTGAAATTTTCAGAATCGAAAAACCTTTTCAATTTAGAAAATGAGTTTTGTCTAACTTTTGAGGATTTTGGAAATTAAAAAAAATTGCGAGTTACCTCTGAGCAACTTTTTTCTGGGCTGATTTTTTTAAGAGGCAATTAAAACATCGAGACATGAAAAAATGGACGGTTTTGTGTGCCACCCTAACATACATACATAACTCTATTGTTATATCTCTGTTGGGGTTTTGCGAGAGAACAGAGATTCAACTCTTATGTCCTCTAAGTCCCTCTCTCGCTTCTTATTTTCTCATCATTGTGTTCATACACCTAACAAATACAGGGTGTTCTAAGTCTTTTGACCTAACCTATGGTCTTAGTACCAAAAATATTTAACCCTTAAAAGTTTTTCATAATAATTAACACTATATTTTCTCTTGTTGCAGCGCAAATTGAAATTATACCATGCAAGGTGTGTGGGGACAAATCATCGGGAGTACACTACGGCGTCATCACTTGCGAAGGATGCAAAGGATTCTTCAGACGTTCCCAGAGTACAGGTCGGCTTCATAATTCAATTATTTCCTTCATTTTAGCCAGCGGGAATCGAACCCACGTTTATTAGTTAAAGAAAATATTTAAAATATAATTCTTTTTTATGTATGTATATGTCACTCACTAAGTAAAAATATTTTATTTAATATAAATAATAATAAAACCGCATGTAAGTTTGAATAGGTTTTTTTTATTTATATACAAATATATTTACAAAATAAAATTATCCGTGTCTTTACTAGACCAGGTTTGATTCCTGCTCGAAGAATTTCTGTTGCTAAGATGAAGCTAATTTGTTATATAGATTTAAATATTCCTTTACTTAAAAGTGAATGAAAAAGAATTTAGTACCGTAAATATTAGAATACTCTCTTTGCATGTACCCTTCAAATGGCTATAACTTATTATTAACACAGCAAACGTTTCAGTGGTGAACTACCAGTGTCCAAGGAACAAGGCATGTGTGGTCGACCGAGTGAATCGTAACCGGTGTCAGTATTGCAGACTGCAGAAATGTCTCAAGCTGGGCATGAGCCGTGATGGTAAGTCATTTTTTTTTAATTAGCCACATCCTTTTTTGTATGTGACAGCATTGATTTAACAACACACAGCCAGATATTATCTGTAATAACAGATTTTGAACTAAAAAGGTACTTAAATCTATTTAAAAATTGGTTAATAATTATTTATTCCAGCATAGGACTAGGATATAAAGAAAAAATTAAGAAAATTAATTTACTATAGATAGCGTAAATTTCAAATAATTTTTTGTGCATTCTTTCGTGTGATGAGCACGAATATTTGCACTCCAGTCGTGGGTGTTTATATTCACAATGTATGTGTATTTAAATTATACATATGTAATGTATCAACTATCTGGTATCTATAACACAGGCCTCGTAGCTTAACATGGAACTAGATGGTGCTGTGTGTTAATGTCCCAACATATTATTTATTACTACCGACTCACCGTTGCTTCGCTCGGGTTCGTCCCTGGCTTGCTTTCCAATACAAACTTTCATCCCCATTTTCACCCACTTAAGGGTTGATTTCCGGGATAAAAAGTATCCTATGTCCTTCCCAGGGTCTCAAACTGTCTTCTTACCAAATCTCATCTAAATCGGTTTAGTAGATCCATAAATTACCCCCTACAACGTCACAATCTCACAAACTCACAAACTTTACCTCTTTATAATATTAGTATAGATCGCCTTTAAAGTTTATGACAATAGCTTGATATAACAAAATATATCGGACTATATCGGTAGGTGTATGCATATATATGTATGCGGTTCGTTCTCTTTATTACAAGAAACAATGAGTGCATTCACACTATCAATAAGAGTCAAGTTCCGGCCGAATCACACTGCAGCAACGTTTCTTGTATAAAAATACTTTACCAGACCGATACCAGATCGAGAACGGACAGTGATCGGTGCTATAGTGTGAATCGGCCCTTACTGTGGAAAAAAATGATGAAGTTTCACGCTGTGTTGCTATTTAAAAGCAAGCGTGGGTAAAATGTTTTGTTTTTATATTATAAATGTGGTAACACTGTCTAATACTTTATTAGATTTACGCGAATATTTGACATTAAAAAAAATCGGATTTTTTTCGCGGATTTATTATCATTTTTGGTTGCCGACGTTTCGAATGCTTTACAGCAATCATGGACACGGGTAAGACTAAGGTTTTAGATGCCTCAATGGTCATTATAAAGCTGTTATAGACGGTGCCTACTAGTAATGTAACGAATGTTCGATTTTTAAAATTCTCGAATGCGAATGTGAATATCTCCAATAGTTGCGAATGCGAATGCGGATGCGAATTCTAATGCAAATGCGAATGTTGATTTAACTTAATTTTATTTACAAATAGTTTAGTTATTACCTGTATTCATTGTTTTGTTTTTTTTTGAGTTTATATTTCATTTTCTTCTCATCTTTAATTGTTAGGAAAAAATATATAGTGAAATGAAAAAACATATAATTGAAGCCAACAAGTCATATTTAGAATTAGATTTTTTTGAATGTAAGGAAGGACATTAATTTTATTTACTTTAATTGGATTTTTTGAACATTTTGATTAGACTAACAATAACAAAAGAAAAAAATATTTCTAATTTAGTTGCCTACCTCAAGACTGTTGCATAATAAGTTTCTTATTCAAATATTATAAATCAATAAAAAAATATATAAATCTTATCAATCTATATATAAAATTAAACTGTAGAGATCGAATGTCTGTAAATAAAAAATTGCCGGTCAAATAAAAGTTTACTTTTATCCCGGAAAACTGAACAGTTCCCGTGGGATAGATCTTATTCGTGCTTTTCTAGAGGCGAACCCAAGCGAAGCAAGGGTGAGCCGCTAGTAATAAATAATTTCCTTTTTATCAAATACGTGTGCCAAATATTCGCATCGTTTCTTGCGAATACGAATGCGAATGTCAAAATGCTAATGCGATTATTCGTTACATCGCTAGTGCCTACCCACAAATTTACAATTTTTGATTTCAAAAATACAAAAATGGCACCAAAGTACCTTACGATATTTCTTAATCTCTCCCGTGACCAGTCTGTTTGTTACGTTTTTACGCTAAATCCACTGAACAGATTTCGATAGCATTTGGCAAGGACACAGATCGCAACCTGTAACCGCTTAATATAAAGCTTGAATCCCACGCGGACAAAATATGGTAAAATGAAGGCATGTAATGTGATTATACATATTATGAAATAATATCGCAATTACTAAGTTAGTTTACTTGATCTATATAAGGAACCACGTGGGTACAAGGAAGCGGGAGTTCACTGACCGTTTATCAATGCTGATAAGAGTTACGATTATGATAACGTGTTGCGATGTGGAAATAGAGGTTGATTAGAAAATAATATACTTGCTAATGTTTATTGTATAGGTTATGGGATTGAATGAGTTTCAAAGGGCTTGTTATAGTTAATTGTTAAAGTATTAAAAATAAATTTGTTATCCCATGAAAATTACATGGTTATTGATAAAAAATACCTCAAAAGTTATATTGTTAACGTAAAATTTGCTTTTTTGATTTTGTAATCTAGTGCCAAAAGTAAATGTGAACTACTTCACCCAAGGGTTTCAAATAATATAGAACTAATAATGTGATTTTGACTTCCTTTGCCACATAGAACCATGTCGCATTAATAAATTACCATGACACATCACGTCTCCTTGTAAAGTGTTTGATCGATGAGCACGACAAGATGGTATAGCTATTGTTAAAGCTAGACCAATCTATAATCGCTGACATAACTGGTGACGCGAATTACGCAACACAATGACGTTAGTGACGTATGTATATCGATAGATTCGTTGGAATAATCGATTTTAGGTATATCGAATAATATCGATTAAATAGACGAAACAATGATTCAATATATTTAAAATATCCGAGCTTATTGCATTTATCTTAAAAATTGAAGAAATAATAAATTGCTAAAAATATAACAAATATGTTATGTATTTATGTTAAAACTCAAATCTTATAATATTTAGTTTAAAACCAAGCCTAATTTTTAGTACGTGTACAATGTACTAGATAATCGGCAAGCTGCATAGCGAGACGCTACCCGAGCGTGCAGTGACGTGCATTACGCAATAAGATGTCACTTGTAGTGAAGTTTATTAGTATCGATAAAAATATTATATTTTTTTAATAGACGAAAAAATGAGTGTACGAAAATAAAAAATGTAATTTTGATAGAAAATTGTAATTTTTTTGAACATTGTTTATAGCATAGAGTTATATAATATGGAAATGCATGTGGGGTAAATTAACTCCACTTACAGCAGAATCTTTTGTAGAATTTCATGATGGTTTTCCATAAATGTTGTTGGTGGTGGCAATACCTGGATCTATTGGCACTAACCTCAGATTTATATTATCTATATAGAAAATCGTTTATATGAACAGTTTGTAAACGGCCAAGTTGTAGTTTATGTGGACGCTACTACTTCACTGAATTTTTTTACTTAATACTTAAAAGCATGTTTTACTTTAAACATTTTATTACAAATTTATAATAATAATTATACTTTTGTTATAAAATGCTTTAAAGTGTTAACTAGAAGGCATCGTATAAATATCATTTTTTTTTCGGTTTAAGAATTTATTTCTCATAAAAAATCCTAATATTCCATCCTAATATTTCAATTAATATAAATAAAAAAGTCGAAGGAGAAAATGAAGTACAAACACTTCACTCTCTTTTTTCTCGACACCTTATATGGGTGATATACTCGTATTACTTATGACCATCTTCTTTTTCAATTCAATTCCCTTGCCTCAAAGCGTGTCATATTATTACGCCAATGTCACGTAGAATGTAAATCTTATATTTTAAACACGTTTTATTTCTAACAGACGTTAAACACAAGTGGATGCCAATACAATTGTTTATCACGATTGACATAAATTTTGCAGGCATCTAAATAAACTATAAATACGAGCTAATTTGATTCGTTTCCATACATGACAGTCACTCAAAATCCTGTTTTTTTTTAAATTATAACCAAGTAAATTGACAGTAAAGCTTGATTTAATAGCAACAGATAAAAATATTAATTTATTTTAAAGATTTTATCGTATTATAGTTTTTGTAGCTTATAACTATAATCATGTGCTCATAAGTTATAGCGCATGAGACCGTTCGCTGTGACGCATTGCGTAACCCGTAGTGAAGTTCTTCGTAAATATTAAAGCTGTTAATAATAGCTTACTCTGGGGGCTATGAGAAATGTATTTTCAAACTTAGCACAAGTTTGAGCTAAAAATTTATTTAAAAGAACATTTTCTATTGACAATGGTGGCTTTTTGATTTAATTTATTCATAAAATGTTTTAAATAAAATATTATCTTAGTCAGTTTCTTAATTTAGAATGAATCTACAAACATGTTAAATTACATGACTAATAATAATAAATTGAAATGAAATTATGGTTATAATATTTTATCAATCTGTTTAAACCATACTAGTTTTAGTTTTTTTAAAGTAGAGGCAAGCTTCCCAAAGAAATATCTATATGTTATGCTATTAATACTGCATTTCTACTCATCTTTTAAGTTTTAGTTCATATTTATACATGATATAATCATTAAAATAATCATATAATAAAGAAATATATATGTTGGGGCATTAACACATAGCACCATCTAGTTCCATCGTAAGCTACGAGGCTTGTGTTATAGATATCAGATAGTTGATACATTACTCATATATAACTTTAAATACATACACATTATAAATATGAACACCCATGGCTGCAGTACAAACGTTCTTGCTCATCACACAAATGAATGCCCCCAGCAGGACTCGAACACCGCGACCGCTGGCACAGCAAGTAGTGTCACTACGAACTGAGCCAAATGTGTTGTCAAAATAATAAAATATTAATTTTCATTTTTTTCGTAGTATTCGCGTCCCTCATTTCATTTAGATTCTAACTTCACAGTAAATGAGCAAATATCCTTTTTGACCAACTTCAAAAAGAAGGCTCAATTTGCAAGTATGTTTTTTGTGTGTTACGCAATATCTTCACCAATTTGAATCGTTTTTCATGTTTCTTTTATCCATTGACAACATAAGTTACTAACAAAATTAAAGTAATATATGCCAAATGGAAACAACTATTGCACCTAAAATGAAATTTAGGTTAACTAAAATACATCTTCCCACAATTTATTAAATAAACTTTTTAGTCGATGCAATGTTTATCGACTCCGACTGTTTCCCATCACTAGTCATTGTGCAATGTAAAGCGTAACGTATGTTTTTGTGTATACGTAACATCTTAGAATAGATTACGATTGCAAAATTAACCGGCTTTGGAAAAACGAGGTTATTGTAAACTCGTTTTAAGGTGAAAATAGCGTTTGACTGCTTTTTATCATTTGCTTTATATTTATTGGCGTGTGTTATTTAATGAGAGTTGTAGTATAATGTTAAATATATTTGCTTTCTATAGAGGAGGTCGTGAATTCGGTTTCTGTGTATAGTATTTATTAAAAATACAATTGTTTCTTTGTACATAGGCTGTATGTGGAGAATGATGTCACTATGTAAAACAAAATACAGAAATTGTCAATATTTCATGGACTTGAAATGCATAGATTAAAGACAAAATCAGTTATTATACGTCATCTTTATCTATATTGTTCTAGAACACAAAATTTTAATTAAAATAAATGTTAGCATAAAATTAATCATCAATTCTAATTTCAGACGCATCAAAATGGTTATAGCAAATACATAATTTACTTTTATTTTCCTAAGCCTCTGAGGTGAACGTCCTCATAACAATTCATTGTTCCAAAAACGAAACATGATTTACAAGCATTTCAGTCGTAACATAAATATAAGAATTGTGCCTCTAAACAAATCTTTTGTAGTCTAGCAATTTCTTTGCTCCTTTGTCCAAAATCTATTAATTGGAACATTAAACTATAGGGCACTGTTCTAAAAACCAGACTAAAAACAAGACCTACTTTTCCACACATAATAAATCAACATAGAGCTCAATTTACATTGGTCGAACTCGAGATTAACCTGTCTAACACAACGCGTACTTATAATTTGGCAGGGTTATCGAACAAAAGAAAATCTATCGAAAAAGCGATAACTCGGCCAAATTGGATAGGGAACGGCGTGGTTGTAGTAGTTTGTATAGCGTAGCAATTTAATTCGTCCGGTTTAACAAACGGGACAGCTCTACGTAGAGTAACGTCACACACGCGCGTCAGAGGTCGATGTGCTAGTAGGCAGTATGCCAGTGGCCGCACGCACACTACTCACTACTAAGATTAGTTTACGTGTGCGTCTGTGTATAACGTTATATGTCATTAATTGAATTTATAGATTTTTGCTTAGTTATGTCACGCGAGAGTAGCGTTCGTGCGGTGGGTAGCGGAACTTAATTTAAATGATTGATGCCTTTCTTATATTGTTAGCAAAAACCGTTGATATTTTATAAGTAATATATTATTAATTTATAAATTATTACATAATAGTGTAATAAAAAGGTTTCATTATACCATATTTTATTAACTTTTTTATTGAATGAAAATTTCATTATATAACTATTACGCATGTGTATGTCTGGATATGAACATTTTATTATTTCAGCGGTTAAATTCGGGCGTATGTCAAAGAAACAGCGCGAGAAAGTAGAAGATGAGGTCAGATACTTCCAAGAGAAGATGCGTTCTCAGGCTGATGCTGCACCGGACTCAGTGTATGACACCCAACAACAAACACCGAGCTCAAGCGATCAATATCACGGACATTATAGGTGAGTTTGGTTCAAATCACATATTTATTACCTCATTACTGGTAATCAGATTGACTGTCGGTAAGTCACGGAACTAACTTTGACCTATAATATCATTATATCAACTGTTTCTCGCTGGCTCTTCGCAGTAGAACTGCTTTCCCGAGCCGGTGGTAGCTTCCTCACGGACGGATTACACTGACGCTTAAATAAAATTGACGATTCAAAAGTGCTTGTAATAAGTGTAATTGAATAAAGTTTATTTAATTTCATTTCATTTCAACATTAAAGTATAAAGTAAAGTATCACAGACTATAACGGAAATAAAACTCTATCTTTAACAGCAATCGTTAGTTTCGAAAATAGCCGCTATGAAAATATAGTCACTAAAAATATTTTTGTCTACGTAATATATTTTGGCCTAGTTGTATTATGAGAATCCGTCTCTACTATAGAGATAGTGGGTTCAAGTCTTGTTCAGAAAATATTCATATGAATTTTATAAGCATTTGCTACGAGTGGGAATACACTGAATTTTGGGTTCGTGGGTAAATTTTAATGGGGGTATTCATGTAGCGCTACTTATTTATTTGTTCAATGACAACTTTTCTACTTTAGAGAAATGTTCATTGTAATTTGCATACAAGTATATGAATGCGTTCTGCTCAGATATCGAATTCAAGTTATATCATGAAAAAGGTTCAAGCTTTGTTCAAGATTTGTTCATTTTTTCTTTAATTATAGAAAATACGTTGTAATGCAAAAACATAAAATCTGTACATCATACACCACATTAAATAACCTTGAAATTGGTTATATTTGACAAATATAAATCTTTAATCATAGAAGCTGATATTTTACATTGAAGTCATAAAACAACAAAACAAAATTTTCATTCCAAAAACCTATATCTAAATAACAAGGAAAAATATAGTATTTCTAACTATTTATTTTAATTCTACATCCATTTAAAACGTACACTGGCGTAGATTAAAAACTTTAACGTGACTTCGCTATATAATGACATAATAACTGACTCTACCAATTAAATAAGAAGCGCTCTCATGATTTTTTACTGCACTCCGTTATACATTCGATTACCGTTACCGACCTTTTCCGTAACACATAAACAGTCTCTCGTTACCTAACGGGTCTAGCGACAAACTTGAATGAATAACGGCTCTGCCATCTAGTGTCGGATAGCGGTAATGTGGTTTCTTGCGAATGCCGACTGTCGTATTGAAGCTTTAATTTTATTGATTGAAGTGGTACTTGTATATTTATTGTTAGCTTTATTATACTTGAGGTTTAGCTTTTGATAAAGTTTTGAATAGATATTTTTTGTGTTTTATTAATGGAAGTATCAGTATATGTATGGCAAGATGCTCTTATTTTACTACATAAAACTAATTTTCAACATACTTAATAATTTTCTCATCTCTTATAGCTTCCCGAACTATGGATCTCCGATATCCTCATATGGCTACAACAACCCGCCACTAAATTCAAATATGAATATGCAGCCACAGCCTCCACAATACGACGTGTCTGCTGATTACGTCGACTCTACCACCGCATATGAACCGAAGCAGAGTGGTGGGTTCCTTGATACTGACTTTATAGGACACGGTGAGTGTTTACTTACACCCATCCTAAAACACCCAGTGACCTCTATTCACTGTTTGAAATCAAATCAGTAAGGTGAGTCGGTCTTTATTTGGAAAACTCGACGCTGGCGCCGTATTATAAAATGGTATTATAAACCATATTTATCTATACATTTCATATTATGAAGACCTTTACAGTGAGTATGTAATTAAGAAATTATTATAATAGGTATGTATTATTAAAAATATTTTAAAAACAGTCCAAAAATTCTAATAAATCATTCAATGTCATGCATTCCCCTATTATAAAGTATATGTAGAGTAAGATTTATCAATAAAAAGCCATAAGACAACAATAATTGTCAATAGACGAACAACAAAAGGGCATCAGAGCGACAACGTCTACAGCCACTGCAACAACTTCAACAACAACAATGAGACAGTCCATAAACGACATGAACCGTCGAATAGAGTTCGACAGATATGAGAGGATTCAGTCCCCTGCCACAATATCTAGCGGAGTGATCAGCATAAAGCAGGAGATAAAGCCAGAGACTTCAATGGGCGTGGAAAATCTGGTCGCAAGCTATGTGGACTCTACAACATTCCTGCATAGTCCATCAAACATAAATAGTCCAATGGATATACAGAACTCGGTCCTTGTGGGCCAGAGTTCAGTTTCATTGACCAGCGAAGAGTTGAGTCCAGATGACCTAACATCAAGCAGTGGGAGAATAATGGACCCTTTAAACATGAATATGTCTGGTATGGGCATGGTCAATCCCAATGCTGTGACAAACAGGCGACATCAAGGCTCTAGCAGTTCTAATGATGATTTGCCGTGTAAGTGTTATTTTTGGTTTGATTTTAAGCGGTGCTAAGTAAAATCATACAGTTTAATAATCATATATTCAATCATAATATAACAATTTTAATAGTGAGACTCCAAAAGTCGAGCTTCTTTTAATATTTTAAAGAAGAGAAATAAGTTGTTATTTTCTTGAAATATATTGTATTTATATACAATTAGTATGGGATATATTAATAATTAAATAAAATAAATATATAGAAATTAAAGATAATTACATATTTAAAATAGTTTTACTTGGTAGTGCTTTTAATCAAATCAGTTGAAGTATAATTTAGTAGTATTATTTTATGTTTTTAGAAAGTAGTACAATTTTTGTTTATTTGTATTAAAATATATTTTATTTATGAACCTTGTAATAATACATATATTATAAGCATATCATTATTAAGACGATTTGTCTTCAAATACTTGGTATGGCTTGTTTCTTTTTAAAATAACACCGCTGTTTGTTACACAAACGTAATATAATTTTGAATTATTCTGGAAAAAATGAATTAAAGTCAATAAAATATTCTGTAAAAGTAACTAAAATATCAAATTACAAATATATAGTATTTAATTATTAATAAAATATTAAGATAAAGATAAATAATTGTAAAAAAAACTCACATCAGATTTGTACTTGGATGAATTTTTTTTCGACTCTACAATAACTAAAGGGAAGGGTATGATTGGTAGAGTCAAACAACAAGGAAGAAGACATGCTACAAAATAAACATTTTTATTATAAAAAAAAATCTTGAATTCCTCATAAATATATTTAAGCTAATATTAAATAATATTGCAACATTATTGATAAAACTTTTATAAAAACGTACTTACGCCAACAAGCCACTAGACATGTGCTAAGTACAAATATCGATAAAGGATCTATTGCCATTATATTCCAATTTTTATTATCATTTGTAATTTATTCATTGTTATTTGACATTTATAGAATTGACGTAATTTTTTTTTATTTTGTTTGTATTAGATCGTAATTTACACAGCCAAGTTGTTGTAGTCGTATTTAGTGCTTTTTTGTTATATATTTTTTTGTTATTTATTTTTGTAATGTAGATTAAGTTATGCTTGTTTATTTATTTTAAATATAAGCTATTTCACATTAAAATCAATATATTAGATCAAATTGTGCCAAAATTGCTTCAATTTTTTTTTTAAAAGAGTACGATAGAACTTTTTACTTAAATATTTCAAATATACGTTATATGTATTAAAGATGCTATTAATTTTTATACACTCCGTATAAACGTATCCACACAAACACTGTTTGTGAACTTATCGTGATTGTTCTGTTCATTTACATCGTAGTATAAATATAAAATATTAAGATGTCAGTAGAATATTCATTTTGTTATAATCATTAAAAAAAACTACATATTAAAACTTAGGCCATATAGATTATAAATTGACATGAATAATACAGATTATAAATAGAATATTTTTTATAAAATAGATTATAATAAGTTAATTATAAATTTAAATATTATTTGCAGCTGAAGGAGATATCAGCAAAGTGCTGGTTAAGAGTCTGGCTGAAGCTCACGCCAATACAAATCCCAAGCTGGAGTACATACATGAGATGTTCAGAAAGCCACCAGATGTGCCCAAGTAAGGTTCTACCTAAATCTAATATATGAATGTCTCGTGTCAAGGTGCTCGTGGTCGCACTCCCCCGAAACGGCTCGATCGATTTTAATGTTTTTTTTTGTATATTTAGTAGGTATGAGAGTAGGTCGTAAAGTATTTTTCACCCTCCTACCCCCACCCCCACATTTTTAATATCTTTGACAATTTATATGACAGAACAACGATTGCCGGGTCAGCTAGTATATGTTATGTTTAGGTAGATAGGTTTGTACAACAAATTAGTAAAAATAGTAATATTTGAAGATAGCAACGGAAAGAATAATATACCATTTTTCAGACAATAACAACGGTTACTATGGCAACCTAATATAAAATATTTCGTATGCGACCTATTTCGTTACGGTCCACTTTTCTGACCTGGTATCCATATGTTTCGTGACATTTCAGGTTAATAATATATTACTCTTACAGATTGCTGTTCTACAACTCGATGTCATATGAAGAGATGTGGCTCGACTGCGCAGATAAGCTCACTTCTATGATACAAAACATAATAGAGTTCGCTAAACTCATTCCCGGCTTCATGAAGCTGAGCCAGGACGATCAGATTTTGTTACTCAAGTCGGGTGAGTGTTATATTATCTATACAGATAAACAAAATAACAGCTGTTTATTGAATGCATATGAAATTATGTACGGTACTTATAAGAAAAATATTTTACTTATTTCGAGATATTTAACTTTTAAGAAAAATATTTTACTTATTTCGAGATATTTTACTTATAAGAAAAATATTTTACTTTCGATGTATAATATATATGTATATTTTAGAATAAGATTTTAGAACCTGATTTTTAGTGTTAATAAAAGCGAATTCTATTTTGTATTATAAAAATTGTCATCAAACAACTTAAGCTGCTTATGCGAATTTTATATTACACTACATATACTTCTTACTTTGCTACTGCTATGTCAAGTGTACTCAAAATGGAAAAATAAAACTTTTTAAAAAATAAATAAAAAGCCATTTCAATACACTAAAAGTAAAAAATAGCCGAATGATAGTTTTTATTTACTATAGATACCTAATCAAATATTTTCGAAGTCGATGTACTTTGATTTCTGCTGGTTGATTTGATACTTGTCGGCAATGAAAGTATATGATTAGGTATCTATAGTAAATTAAAACTGCCATTCAATTATTTTTTACTTTTTAATATTTTTGAACTCTATATTCCTCAAATTTTAACAATGTAGCGAGAGCGAACGTTTTCAAAATTATTTTGTAATGAAATATAATCGGTTATTTTAGAATAAAAGTTTGATCTTTTTGTGGATTATTGCTATTTTTCCCCACAGGATCATTTGAACTGGCCATCGTGCGTCTTTCACGGCTGATCGATGTAAACCGTGAGCAAGTTTTGTACGGCGACGTAGTTGTACCCATACGAGAGTGTGTTCATGCACGGTTAGTGTTTCATTGGTAAAATATGATAGAAAAGTTTCCATAGGTCCCATGGATCACTCATCGATCTATTGATTTTTTGGATAAATTGAATGGAATCACATCATGATAATTGAAATTAATAATTTACATTTATGTTGTTACGGCATTAAAAATATTATATAAATTCAACTATTCTACAAGATTTACCAAATTTTTAGAACTAAAATTTGTTTTTTCGACTAAAAATTTTATTAGATTTAGATTTAAGAACTGTGCTTAAACATAATATTAAAGAAACTATAAAATTTGTTATCATTTTTCAGCGATCCTCGCGATATGAATTTGGTGTCAGGTATCTTCGACGCTGCAAAAACCATCGCGCGTCTGAAACTCACAGAGACTGAGCTCGCTTTGTATCAGAGTCTCGTGTTGTTGTGGCCTGGTAAGTATTGTATATACATTTTTTATTAGACAACTAGTTCTTTACCACGACTTATGTCTATCTCTTTACGCTCATTTAATTCAATGATCAATTCAATATTACAATCTGTTTTTTGCGATCTTATTTTATTCCCGTGCCATTTGCAGTAATCATTGAAAGCGTCAGGAACAAAAAAAGACACTAAATTACGAAAAAAACGAACCAAAAAAGAAATACAAAAAAAAAACACTTTTTTAAACATCAAACATTCGCATAAATCTAAGAAAGTGTCATATTATTTTAATCTTTTGAAACCAATATTATTTTCATTTACAGAACGTCATGGCGTTCGCGGTAACCCGGAGATACAGTGTCTGTTCAACATGTCGATGGCGGCAATGCGTCACGAGATTGAGACCAATCACGCGCCTCTCAAAGGCGATGTAACTGTCTTAGACACTCTTCTTGCTAAGATACCCACCTTCAGGTTAGTTTTAGTTCGAATTCAAAGTATTTTATTCAGCATTAAATTATTACATTTTCTTACTGAACGTCATGGAGTCTACTACCAGTTCGGAAAGAAGAAGCCTCAGACCTGATAAGATCTGGCGGAACCGAAAGAAACTCAGCGGGTCTATATAAAAAATAAACAATACTTATATAAATATTGTTCAATTTTAAAATAACCAAAAAAAACCAAACATAACCCAAGTGCAACTATCGACAGAAAAATGCTTATAACTCTGTTGGTTCTTTTACGCACATGGCTGTTTTTTGCATAACTGGGTCCAGTTACAATATTTCTATAAAATTGAATTACCCTACAGGCGATCACTTCATTCCCAAGGCGTGCCATCTTCTATAAAAAAATAGTTAAAGATGAATTAACATATTAAAATACCGTCAATCTCTTTCTTCTCTTCTTATTCTTCTCATTTTTCAATCAGTCGTTTAGTTGTTTTAACGTGTTTTTTTGTTCTATTTTCTTCTAACAGCCGTCGTTACAGCGTTAACACTCTTCAGATATTGTGAATCCTCTTTCACAATCATCTAATGTTTTCCTTGTACTAATTAATTATTTATTTAAAAATATAGTGGGCCACCACAAAATGTTGAGTAATTTTTTTTTTCTTTTTTTAGAATTTTTTTTTCTCTCCACCCTACTAGTACTACCTATCTATTCAATACATATATATATATATATATATATTTTTTTTTCCTTCTTCTTCATACTTCCTTACCAAGATAACGTATTACTTATCAGCTTCTCTATCACTGGTGTTACTTGGTGGTAAATAAAATACGAGTATGTATCAAAATAACTTAATTGTTAAAAGCAATTGTTATGTGCCCTGAACAAATCATTTTCGGGTATCTTTTGTTTTTATATACATATCGATTCTGCTAACAAGAAAAAAAAGACCCAAACAGTTAAATACAATATACCTATATGAGCTTAAGTAAGATAATTTTCTGCAATCCATATCTCTAATAGAAAACTCAAATGCAAAATATAATAGATAACAGTAAATCATGCCATTTGCATATATTTATATATGTATGTATATTTTAGGGACTGAAGTGTATATTTTTGGGTGCAAAAAATGCTAAAATGTCCGTTCAATGAAATCCTAAGAACTTCAGTTTTTTTTCTGAATTTCAAAATTAACCTTTTGAAGGTTAGGGTAAAATTAAATTGAAAGGAGGTTTTAATGTTAGCATCATTCTTTTCAGAGAACTATCGCTGCTCCATTTGGAGGCTTTGTGCCGTTTCAAGGCGGCCCACCCTCATCACGTGTTCCCAGCTCTATACAAAGAACTGTTCTCTTTAGACAGCGTTCTTGATTACACACACGGATAGACACCCGAGGATTTATTATATATATTTCCATTGATTTGCGACCAGATCTCATTTTTGCCTATCAGAGCGGGACGTCGGCAGCAGTGAGGCGAGTTATTTCTAAAGACTTGACAGCTACGTTTCATTTATTTCTCATTTTTCAGTACATCTGAAGACGCCTATTCGTTATTTGTTAACCTATTTATAATTGTATGTATGTACTTTGAGACTGTTATAAGGATATTTATGTATTAGTACGTACGTACAATATTAATATTTAAATGTTTATTTAATTCGAGTCTAGGCACGGATAGCCGTCTTCAGTTGACATTCGGCGTTCTGCAAATGGACGGGAATTGTGGAGGGTGAAGGTAAGGAGATCCATCTTATATGGGGGATAAGTTGAAAAAGTGTCCACCTGAAAACTTTAAATAATAATTCAACAACTAACTCGGATGGTGCTAGCGTAGGAAAAGTGTATTATATCAATCTAGCTGTTCTAAACGGAGTGAAATGTGCTGAGTTGAAAATTTAAATATTTTGGCTGACGTGACTAGTTATTTAAACTATTTACGTAGTCCTAAATAATTTGGTAGATATAACTTAGAAAACTGTGGTGATATAAACGTAAAGAGTGATTTATTTTTGTTCGAACATTAAATAATAATTTTGGCGTTTTCTTAAAAATTTACCCTGTTGCTACTGTAGCGCCACCTTTATTTAACGCCTTTCGATGGACACTTTGTCATACTCAGAGAAGGTTCTCCTTATCTCTACTCTACGTAACGGGAATACGTGAAACCGGACGTCAAATGTGTAATGTCATAATGACATATTGACAGTTGACACAACGACAGGTCGAATGTCATTATGTCTACACAGATGACATTTAATTATTATAAAGTGTATCTAACAATGATGAAAAATAATGATTATTATACATATATGATTATTATATAAAAATATAATAATAGAAATAGAGTTTTTATTAAGAATTAAATAAAGAAGTTATAATGTTGTAGCGAGACCACACAACACTTTGTTTTAAGCAAACGTTTAATTAAAATAGGACTTTTTTATAATTATTATTTTAACAGTTTTTTTTAAAGAATTGTAACTTGTTATTTATTTCAAATGATTAATATTGATGTTTTTTTCAATGTAGAATGTCGCTTATGTTATAATATAGGATACATGATACTGCCTATTTTTTTTTGTAATTTTTCGTTAGCTTTTTTAATGAAACAAATTAGTCGAACATCAAAATATAAATAACTTAATATAAATAATAATAAGTTGCATCGTAACGTAATTTGTTGAACAAAATCGTAAATGAACATTTACATTTAATGGTAATCATCAAGTCTTGTTATTACTATTTTTGCACACATATTTCTATAACTTTTTTATAATATTTTTTTTTTTAGTTTTGTATTTCAGTTTTTTTAATTTGTATATTGAAAATGATTTTTTTTATAAAAAAATGTAATAATGAGATTTGATTTTAATAATAAATTCGATACGTTTTGAACTGTTTACATTAGCAGGCAATTTATTTTCTGTATTTAAAATTTGATCTCATTTTTTTGCACTATACTTTAGTGCCATTTTGGATTTTTTTGCTTTTTTTGCATAATAACAGTGCATAATATAAGGAAGTACATTTTCTTGTATACGTAATATACATATTATATGTATATATATATATATATATATAATGTTTTTTTTTTAATTTTACACTGGTGTACGTATTCTTTTTATTATCTTTTATTTCAAATTTAAATTGCCTGCTACGTTACTTAGAGTTATTAATAAAAATCAATTTTTCTAACAATATGCTAAGTTTCGTCAGATAGCCTTTATTATAGACTGGATTATATTAATGTTATAACGTATAAATCTTAACTCGTATTTTGTAAATAGCTAATAATCGTATGTATTTTATATTAAATATCATAAGGTTCAATGGGTTATTTTTAATTTTACATTCTATTAAAAAAAAAAACAGATTTTCCACACTGGGTTGATAGACTATGATCTTGACAAGTCATGTGAAAAATGTTGTTTTTATCTTTCTATATATTATATATTTTTTGTTAAATAAAGCAATCTGTTATTGTCTATTGTTTTTTGTTTTATTTTTTTTTATTTTAGTTCCATACGTAATATAGTATTTATGTATTTATATTTATATATAAGTTTTTATTATAACAGAGATATTCACACACATTTTTTCGTTTAAAGATAATAATAAAATAGTATTAATCATGCATAAATAGTGAGAATATATAGAATAATAAAAATATACGGGTGGTTCATGTTTTGTTTGAAAAAATTCACGCTCTTATATGGATGGTATTTTATTCCACTTTATAATTTTGTGGATAACTGCTGTAATCCACGTTTATAAACAAATAGTTAAAATGTTATAAAAAATGAATTTTGTTTTGAATATAATATTTAGAAGCACACTAGATGAGTTAGTGTAACAGTCGCTAACAAATTAGGAATGTCACGTTTTTTTGTCCGACTATCAAAATTTTTCGTGTCTTTGTCAAAAATTTTTGCATATCAGGGAATGAAATTGAAATTTATGAAGACATTTCTCTTTGTACAAAGCACGACAAAGTTTTAGAGCACTAAGACTGAAAAATCGGTAAAAACCGCTTTTGCCTAAACGTAAAGATATAACCGTCTAATTTTAAGCCTGCTGCAAACATGTGACTGGATTTTTAGAAAAAAAATCCAATTTTTTTTCTTTTTGCATACAAATTTTAGTATTCTTTGATTTCCAAATGATTTATTAAAATATTAAAATGATACAAATTTTTTGTACGTAAAAAATTCTTTTTTTTGTTTGAAAAACATCGATAGACTGACGAATTTATAAGGTACAATTTATGATAACTGTATAATAATTCATGTTCAAGTTTGTGAGCAGGCTAAACCTCGAATTTATTTTAAAATTTCACTAATCTATCAAAATGCCTCTAGAAAAATGAACAATTACTAATAAAAATCGTGTCCATTCTATACTTCTTAAATTGTAAACTTGTGATTGGTGCGGAAATGGGTAAGGGATATCAAGTTGTCCCTTTCTTACATGTGGAGGGATCTTCGTGATAGTTTTTAGATTTAGTGCTCCTGCGCAGGAGAAGATTTTGTGACGTCACTTACGCCGTTTGCCCTTGAACTAAAGATGAATTTATTATAAATGATCGATGTCACAAAATTTTCTGTGCGTTTACGATTTAGGGTAATGTTTTAATTGCTGGGTAGTTTCGTAGGTATTTCTAAAACTTTTGTACTATGTTTTGCAAAATTTTCACTAAAACAATATTATAGATTTGGACACATAAAGGATAGTATGTAATATTTTGGAAAAAAAGGCAAGGTTGATGCAGGAATATGGGTTTGCGTGGTTTTATACATGATTTTTACATTGGTTCAATTATTTTTTTCATCAATAATTATTTAAAAAGAGCTTCTATTATATACAAAAAAGGACCCACGAGGGTATCTCAATTATAAATAGAAAAAATTTTGTACCTCTTGTTTTCTATAAGATAATTATTTTATATTATGAAAAAAATATTCATTTGTTAAATATTGAGTATTTTTACACATTACTGACATATTAAAAGAGAAACAAAATATAAAAAAAATCATATATCTATGTAAAAAAGATAACAGATTATATTGAATAAAATATTTTGTACGCTCACGTTGACCGGAAAAATGCTGACATTTAAATTTAAATACTTTTTTTTAAATAAATGTTGAGTAAAAAGTTTATTTGGATTTTTTTTATTATAAACAGTTAGGCTGTTTATCGGTCAACGTGTGCCTACTTTAGCTTTGTTGATTTATAATACAAACATTGTGTACCTTAGTAGACGGGGATGGAGTCGGAACCAATAGAAATAAATGTTATTGTTTTTATTATTATTCTCGAATCACTTGCAAGGGATTGTGTTTTATTTATCTCCTATTTGTAATTATTTAAATTAAATGTAGAAAAAATCATCAAAATGCGAGTCATATTCATGTATGAGGTATCGGCATACTTTACATATACAACTAGAACCTGTGTAATTTATTTTACGTATTGTAGGTCTTAAGATGACGTTAGAAAGACCATAAAAATATTTTTTAACTAATAGTTCCAAGCATATGAGTGTTTAAACCATAGACGTAAAGAAAGGACTGAGCAATACTGTCATGAAATTAACAAAAAGAAGAAGCGCATGCGCGACCGATACTTTTCTTTTATTCTAATTTGAATTTATAAATTATAATGGAATATAAAATGGTAATAAATATCTATCTTCATTAATCGTATTTCAATTAACACATAAGACGCCTCACATTCGTTTTGTCTTTGTCGCTTTACCGCCATTTTTAGCTTGACAGCTGGCAAAGAAACAGTCCACTCTCCATGTCTATGGTTCAAACAATAAAATATAAACTCTATAGATTATATATATAATTATAGAATCTATACTATAAATCACCGTTTAAACTCTTTATGTGACATCTATACATAATATAATAAAATTCTAACCAAGCCGAATCTGTACATTAAATATTTTTTGAAAATCTTACTGAAATAAACATTATTATCGATACAGAGGCCGAATCTATAGTTTTTAGAATTTTTTTGATCAAAGAGGAATTAGAGGTGGTTTGATGGAATTTTTAACTGTGCTTTTAATGAATCAAGTCCATTCAAAAGTCAAAAGTCTGAAGAACCGACGAACGAGTTGTGAGAAATATGATACTCTATTTCCATTCGTTAACTGGTAAGGTTTACTTCGATAGTCTTGTCGCTAGCATGTACTTCTGCAGATACGGGGCTCCTAGGTTCAATTCCTGAGCCGACCAAGCTTTGTTTGACATTGCTGAGTTTTTTTGTCAAGGAATTCTCAGTAACAGCCCGGAGTTGGGCAGGTGGCGGTGTTATTCCTGTACCGGAGAGCATATAAAGCCTGCTGTCCTGCACTTGATTTCTCATTAGTCGTATCGAATTATTGTCCAACCATATATAGATATATTTTCTTTTTCTATATTCATATATACGATTATGGATGATCGAGTACCAATGGTTAGGTACCAAATTCAAGGGTGTCCCATAAAAATTACAAATATAGGATGGTCCCATAAAAATTTAAGAAAAATTTTAAATTTACCTTTTAGATTTAATAGTTTAAATTTAATAGTAATTACTCATCAGTTCTAAGTTGGCTAATTCCGAATATACATATAAAAATTTGTTATAAAGGTCACGAGTGTGGTCAATTCATAGTTAATTAAAATACTCCAACTTTAAAATTAAGTTTCCAATGCTAATTTGTCAATAAGTTTTTGTTTGTTTTTGTCAATAAAGCTTGTTTTGTGAAGGTCATTGGTTTGGCTTCCGCCTTACTTACTAGTTACTAATGATTTACCAATTAACTGTACCAAAAACACCATAATTTAAAATGTATTCAAAGCTATTTGAAAGTACTTTTAAAATATTTACCTTTGGAAACAGTATATAAGTATTTACCTTCCGGGATAAAAAGTAGCCTATGTGTTATACCAGACTATAATCTATCTCTGTGCCAAATTTCATCCATCTAACTTGAAAATCCCCATAAAAATAATCATCCCACCCTTAGAAGCGGATAGCTAGTTCATCCCGACCTGACTTCTATTCTATAATTATTATAGTATAGCTTTGCCCTAATTGTAGAACTGTACCGAGCTCGTTAGAATATATATATATATATATGTATATATATATATGTATATATATATCTATTCTATACATATAATAAAAGCAATTACTTAGTTACAATAGAAATTCATCTAATTTCATATTTAATCAAGGAATAAGGATGCTGTAAAATAAAACAAAAAATTAATTATATCATTTTTTCCGATTTATTACACGTTTCAAATATCAGTGTAGTCAAAGGCCACTGTACGACGTAATATATAAGAATAAGACATAGGTTTATCAAGAAAAACAAAGGAAAGTATAGTGTTCCGTAAATATTCTTCAAGATGGGGTATGGCCATACACCTAATATGGCGTAGTTGTGGAATACACTGAAAAAAAAAAATAAACAAATATATAATTCTACTAATATTATAAATGAAAAAGTTTGTGAGTATGTTTGGATGTCTTTCAAGCAAAAACTACTAAATGGATTTTAATGAAACTTAACAATAATTAACATAGCTAATATATCAGAATAATACATAAACAAATATATCCCACGGGGACCGTATATTTGATCCGGGATGATATATAGGCCTTCTTTAATAAACGGGTTATCCAATGCAAAAAGAATTTTTCAAATCTGATTACTAGTGATAGATCAGCTCCTGAGATTAACGTTCAAACAAACAAACAAACTCTGCCGCTTTATAATATTAGTATAGACACAGATCATATACATATCTATACTATCTATACTAGAGATAGAAAAAATAACAAAATCGGTGGATTTTAGGTGTCAATTTCTATCAGAAATTTTTCTTCTTCCACATGAATCGATTGTGACTGCAGCAAATTAGTTTTACTTTTATATAAACGGTAAAAAAAAAACAATAAATTATACTTACACAATCAAATAAGTTATGAAAAGGGCAAATATATGGGCCAGGTACCATTTATGTGAGGTTGGCTTACTTCTAGGTAAGAAGAAGAGATTCCATATTACTATAGGTATTATAGCTGTATGCATTATATGGTTTGACGGTAAACTTATTGCCTTGTCTATGAAGGACGGAAATATTAACTCTCTGTCATATATGAATATTGGCCAAAATATGGTAAATATCATCTGAAACAAAATAAAAATGTATTAAATATTTAGCTTTTTAATAAAAAGCCTCAAAATAGCTTTAAAACTATGTTTTTAAAGAAGTATATACGTATTTATCTATACATATAATAAAATTGTAAATAAACCGAATCTGTACATTAAATATTTTTTGGAAAATCTTATTGAAATAAACATTATTATCGATACAGAGGCCGAATCTATAGTTATTTTTGTCTGTCTCTGTGTTATTTAAGTGTAGTGTATCAACTATCTGGTATCCATAACACAAGCCTCGTAGCTTACCATGGAACTAGATGGTGCTGTATGTTAATGTCCCAATATATCCCAACTTATGAAGAGCTGTAGTGTTATCAATAAAAAGTTTTTGGAAACCGTTACTTTTTTTATGAATAGGTAAAGACATAAGATCTCAGTTTTATTATTTATTTTTCTATACTAATTACAGCCAAATTTCGTCAACTGGGCAACCAATTAGTACTAAAAATTAGATGACTTACCCAGGAAAGAGGCCACACTACTGCGCCGAAGAAGACCTTTCTATAATTTCTAAGATAATTCAAGTATTTTTCGCCTTTTTTTATTTTAAATATGGCAGATATATCACATATAATACTCATAGCAGCAAATAGCAACTGGAACGCCTGAAAGGAATAACAGATTATTAAAAAATAATTAAATGAATATGTTGGAACATTACATTTTTACAAATTCATCCAGCCGCTTCAGCGTGAAGGAGTTACAAATACACATACAGACAAAATTTAACTTTTATAGTGTTACCAGCATTGCCCGCGGCTCCGCCCACGTTCAGATGACCAAAGACCAAATTCTTAGGTTTTACATATTACTAAACTCTTACATTACAGTTTTTCTATTTTTTCTCCAAAATGAGATATTTTCCCGTGGTAAAAAGTATCCTATATGTTGACCCGGATCAGCATTACCATACCAAATTTCATCAAAATCTCTCCTGAGGTTTTTCTGTGATATGGTAACAGACAGACAGACAGACAGACACAAAAATTCTAAAAACTATAGATTCGGCCTCTGTATGGATAATAATGTTTATTTCAATATGATTTTCCAAAAAAATATCTAATGTACAAATTCGGCTAAGTTACAATTTTATTATATGTATAGACCAATTTTTGCCCTCGACTCACTTACCTGGTGAGACGAGGATCAAAGGTAGTCTATATTCTTCCTCAGGATGCAATCTCCTCTCAAATTTTATTGAAATCACACACAGGGCTTACTTTCACATTTATAATATTACTAGCGACTCACCCTCGCTCCGCTTGGGTTCGTTTCTACTTAAGTTTTAACGTTTAGTATAAGTTTCTATAACATGAGATATTTTCCCGCAGTAAAAAGTATACTATATGTTGACCCGGATAACCAGCTACCATTATACCAAATTTCATCAATATCTTTTTAGCGGTTTTTCCGTGATGCGGTTACAGACTGACATACAAAAATTCTAAAAACTATAGATTCGGCCTCTGTATCGATAATAATGTCTATTTCAATAAGATTTCCCAAAAAATGTTTAATGGACAGATTCGACTTAGTTACAATTTTATTTCATGTATAGAAGTATGATTAAACACTTACCACATTCCATATAGTAATATATTTAAGCTGCGTAGCTTTCAGCATGGCAATATCTGGGTCCTTTAAAATATCGCCTTGCATCGCAAAGAACAACACTATCGAGTTGCCGCTATGGAGAAGAAAAGCTATAGCATTTCCGATGAGTCGACAGTACACGTGATACGTTACTATACTGGAAAAATATTAACAAATAAATCTATATTATAATACCGACTCTCGATGTAAGATGAATACCATCTTGTTGTGGTGGGAGGGCTCATTAGCGTCTGGCAACAAAGCCGGGTGGGAAGCAAAGAAACACACTTGGCGGTTCACCTCGATTCGTGGTGTACCATGGGGATTGCTCCTGGTACTTCTCTGATAGCAGAGTGAACGTTGGGGGCAACCCTATATACGCTGTGATCTGCCTAGGCAGGCCAGCCATCGTGGTTAAGTGTGCGTGTGATTCCGTTGGTTTTAGTGTATAGTCCTGGCTCTTCTATCCGTTAAGTCACACATAAGCACCCAAATTACGGGTAGCATGCGTTAATACAATTCCTAACACAAAAACTTATCATATTTTATTTCTTCACAAGTCTAGTAGTGAGTTTATTGACTATCTTAGTCTAGTGGCTAGTATGTACGTCTGCAGATCACAAGGTCCTAAGTTCGAGTCCGTGGTTGGACAAAAAATTCTAACTAGAACTAGATTTTTATATCATCAAGCAATACTCTGTAAAAGCTCGGAGTTGGGAAGTCGGCAGTGTGGAGACCGACATGCTGTAAGCACATTAAGCTATCGGTATTGCACCTTATCTTTCATCGGTCATGACGAGTTTTCGTCATATCCTTATGAGTATAATTATGAGTTTTTGCGGAATAGAGTGCATTTTGTGTCTGAACACAGAATTGGGCATATGTCCTGCGCAATTAGCTAGTCTCAGTTAGGTTGGATAAGCCCAGGGATAGAAGAATAACTAAAATCCCTTAGTCTCGAAGACATTAGTAGTTATAGTAGTGAGCTTATATAGCAGATAGCGGGATCAACGAGATCAGGGTTCGAGTCTCGGGTGACAAATAAGATTTTTAGGTCATAAATTCAAATAAAACAGTTACATAAAAATTATATCAAATTGTTTTCCAACATAAGTTTTAAGAAAACGAATATTTAACTTTTTAGCTAAATCTAAAAACATATAGACAATTTTATGTTTTATGTTTTTTTTTCTTTATTGGCTTATAGTTGCGTTAACAGACGCAATCCATTCTGCCAGTGTAATATGTTTTATGTTTACTTAACAAATTAGCACATTTTGGCACACACTACAAACTACACGTTAAATATTTGACAGTTTTCATATTGACATTACCGTCATTGTTATGTAGAAAAGGTTTTTGTTTTTTATTACTTGAAACATTTTGTCATCACTGCTTCAAACAAAGCTAAGGAAAAGAAAAATTAATATATAAAAAATATATATTCATAAAACTAATAATGTCCTGCAAACCGAATTTGGCCACGACCAAGGCCAAACTCACTGAGACTAGCCAAATACGCAGGAGATATTATAGTGCAGGAAAGATAAATATCCTTAAGACTTTCAAACTCAAATGGAACAATAACTAGATAAGGCTGCGGAGGCGCAAAAGCAGTAGACATATACATGTATAATATATATAGTACATATAAGTGCATTCTAAGTGGAAAACTGCATCGTCCTTTGGAGTTACGTAAAAAGCATTTATAAATCTCCCATCACTCATATCTTAAAAATTTAATTTTTAACTTACCTCATTTTGAAAACTTCCACAAGTTAACTTAACGTTATTTAGAATTTCTTCTTTATAACTCAAAAAATCTGTAAAAAACATAAGCATTCTAATCAAAAATAAAACTAACAGTTAAATTTAAAAGAAAAAACTAAAAAAAACAAACTTGAACAAAAAAAACAAAATCAAAAAAAAACCTAAGACTGAAATTTAGATCAATGAAAAATATTTTTGGTGTTATAGAACCGTCTGTGTTACACATGACTATTTAATCTTTATTGCTAAGTGTGTTCTTCTATTTTTATCTATCTATTTTTAGTATAATTCAACTGCTTCATACTATTTTTGTAACTGGTGATTAAAAATTAAATTATAATAGACTCTACGGAGAGAGACCGCGGCAGCGCTACAGTCAGCATCGACTCCGTATTGTTTTTATTATTAAACTTATTATTAAACTTACTGCATGCCTAGTCATACAAAGTTATCAAAGAGTAATCCAGAAACATCGTCTGAAGTCAAAGTGAGAAGTATAAAATCGTGACTTAGTGCTAAAATCAAACATAAACAAGCCCAGTGTATAGTGACTTTTCCTGAAAAACTTGTGGTCTAAGTGCTGGTGAAAACAACAATTCAACATAAGATTAGACCCCTGGTGTTGCCAATCATAAAATAAATTTTAGGACGAAAATTCGGTGAAATATTACCGTCATAACCATAAAAATACCGTTAGTAAATATAAAGAAAAACCGTTTTCAAGTCAACACAGAGTGCAGCGCCATTTAATGGAGAATAGAAAAAAACCACACTTATCGATAATACTGCTACTCACTCCTGCCATCTAGCGATTTTCTTAGGAATTAGCTAGACAAGAAACTACTGAAACAACCTCGCACTACAATCGACTAGCCATAATTTTCTTTCTGCTCACCAACAGAGGGCACTACTCTAATCTTCACAATGGATGAAATTAAAACTATGCCCCTAAATATTCAAGAAGAAATAAGGCAACAAATGGTGGAAATGCTAAATATAAAAGAAGGTATCAAGAACACCAGTAACATCAACGAGAAGTTCAAAAGCTTAGAAAATAAAAATTTACTTATGGAACAAAAACTAAACACAAAAAAGGCGATAGATATAGATAGACCTACCAAGATTTAGAGAACAATGTGCTGGACATCATCTATACTAATATAATAAAGAGGTAAAGGTTGTGATGTTTGATTTTGTGAGTTTGTGATGTTGTAGGGAATAAACTCTGGATCTACTGAATTGATTTAGATGAAATTTGGTAAGAAGATAGTTTGAGACAGGGTCTGGGACAAGGACAATGAGGGAAGGACATAGAATACTTTTTATCCCGGAAATCATCCCTTAAGGGGGTGAAAATAGGGATGAAAATTTGTATGGCGAATCAACCTAGGAATGAACCCAAAATGAGAATATAAGATCCATCCTGGTAACATTACTCACCATGGGATTAAAAACAAAAATACCTACAAAAAATAATCTTAAAAAATGAAAAGATCTTCAAATCGAACTAGAGAAGGAAAGAGAACAAGGGAAAAAAACTTTCATAAAATAGGACAAGCTTGTGATTCTTGAGAAGAACACCCGAGCTGGCCAGCAACAATTACCCACCAAAAAAAAAAATATACCTCTCAGAATCTCCTGAATCATCAAATAACTAAATATAGTTGTTTTTTGTTTAGTTTATCGTTTTTTTTTAAAACGATAAACTGCTGGCACAAGTATGATCACTACAAACTTAGCCAAACGTGTATCAATCAAACACGTGTGTTCAATAAATCGTTCACTAATCACTGTTATTTACTAAAACAATATTGGTAAAATCGAATCAATGTTAAATTTTAGCCCAATCACTTATAAAGATGTACTCACATTCAATAAAGAAAATTATGGAACAGTTCGCCTTAAAGAAAATGTTAGTTGTCCATTAAAATGCTTGTTATATAAAATATCTAACAAATTATGGTGATACGCCCCTTAACAAGATTAACGCGATGGCAAAGCCATACTAAAAATTTTGAGAAAGTCTCTCTAAGACTACAATTCGCTTATATATTATATAATTCATATATATATATATATTTTTAAATATCTAATTATTCTATAACAAACGTAACTATTACATATATATAGAAATGATATAAAATAGATAAATACTTACTTATCATTAAGAAAAAATGGTCAAGGGCGAGTCCGATACGCGAACAGAGGGTTCTGTCATCAAAAAGAATTATATTGCATATCGATTAAAATCGTGAGTTTAATTAACACTCCTAAATTTGGTGAAACCATTACTTGTATGGCATCTTTAACTTGTATGTTTTGACCTATTATATAATTATAATATAAAAATTTAAAAAACCCCATACGCTAATGAATTTGAATGAATTTTTGTCATTTAACGATTAAACTGGCACGCGTGAAGCACTTAATCGAGTAATCATACGCCAAAATGCCTTACATCATTTTGGAAAAGAGCTGATACTCTTACACTACTGGACCGATATCAACCAAACATAGCTAAGAACCACCGCAAGGAAACTGGCTTTCAAAAGAACAAACCGCATCGAAATCGGTTCATCCGTTTGAGAGCTACGATGCTACAGACAGACACACACACAGACAGACATCGACGTCAAACTTATAACACCCCTCTTTTTGCGTCGGGGGTTAAAAAAGAGCAAGCACTCGACGCAGTCTTTATCATTAATTGTGAACTAATGTTGTTCATTGGTGAAATATGGTTTCGTAAACAATTTCTTTGGCTTTATGTTATAAGTAATTAATACAGAAACACCCCCGCTTTCTCGCACGTCCTGCGCCACACTGCGCGCCATGCGCCCGACTACCATGCCGTGTAGGATTTTCGAAGCCCTATTTGACTCTGTTGGGGGATGATATTGGAAAAAACTGTGGTACACGTGTGTCATAATTTTAATTAAAGAGTATGTGTACCAATTTTCGAGACAATCGACCCAGAGAATAAAAAGTTTTACAGAGATTTCAATTTCCCATCTCATTATCTTAGGGGTGGAATTTTTAAAAGCCCTTTCTTAGTGGATACCATCACTTCACAAAGAAAACACCCTCCAAATTTCATGTCTCTAGGAACAGCGGTTTAGGCTGTGCGTTGATACATCAGTCAGTCAGTACTTTGAATTTTATATGTCTACAAGAATTCTAAAAACTATAGATTCGGCCTCTATATCGATAATAATGTCTATTTCAATAAGATTTTCCAAAAAATATTTAATTACAGATTCGGCTTAGTTACAATTTTATTATATGTATCTATCTAAATCTATCTATATAAATAAAAATGTATCACCGAAATGTATGTACACGCATAACTTCCGATCGACCACACCAATTTTGTTTGTGTATTGTCATGACAATTTTTGTATAGAAGAAAATTATAAGAAAACAAAAATGACTACAAAAAGGGTTTTTCTAAATATCATGATATGAAGAGTGATTGAGTGAAATAATTTATATCCCGGAAATCATCCCTTAAGAAGGTGAGAATGGAGATGAAAGTTTTTATGGAGAACCAAGCTAGGGACGAACCCGAGCGAAACGAGGGTGAGTCGCTAGTATAATATAAATTGCTGTTATATGATTTTTAAAATCAATTTATTTATTTTGTCAATTATTTAAGCCGCTATCTATTATAGTTCTAAAGATGTAAAAATTGATTTTGTAAAGTACAAATATTGTACCTAAATTTAGTTTAGTACTTAGCAGAATTTTATCCAAATAGCAACAAAAGTTCTACCAGAAACTGATTATCAGTAGTTAGATAGTGTTTTAAAGATAAATTTTATGTTGTTAACGTATAATGCCATATACATAAAATTTTTATACTATTTTTATTGCATAATATTTAATATATAAGTTAATAAAACGGTATGTGTATATATGTATGTATGTATGTATGTATGTATGTATGTATGTGCATATGTAAATATAGTTAGGATACTGAGATTTCTAATTATGATTTCTATTTTGTATGAAAAATTTCCGAAATCATTATTTATAAAAAATAAGTTAAAATGTTCGTGTGGCGGTATATACTTATTATTAAAAAAACCCACTAAAAATAGAAAAAATAGACATGCGCTCTTAAGCCATAATCTAAGAATTGTATTCAGGCTTTTTTGACGTCCCACCGCTGGGCGTGGGCCTCCCTACAATACGAGGGGGATCAGCCATAGTCCACCACGCTGGCTAAATGCGGGTTGGCGGACTTCACATGTCTTTCGAAAATTTGTTAGGTTATCTCAGACATGCAGATTTCCACACGATGTTTTCGTTCACCGTAAGACAAGTGGAAAATGATTCGCACATGAAAATATCAGATGTGCGAGACCTTGCGGGATTTGAACCCGCTTCACTCGGTTACCCAAGCGAGCGTGTGACCACTGGGCTACTACTGCCTCAAAAAAGAATTTAACTTATAATGTCAAAAATATATATTTATTTTCGCAAAAGAATTATAAAATTTACTTACAGAGAAAATACACAAATAATATAACTAAAATCATGTCGTCGGACAAATCAAATCATAACTTATTCACTTTTGAGTTATCTATTTAGCATTATCAAGAAATTTTTATCACAAGAAACTTATTTTGCTTTAATTATACGAGTATAAACTTAAACACATTATACTAATATATTAAAACTTAAGAGGGTAGTGCTAAGTGTTTGAGACAATAATGCGCGATTTCACCAACGTCACCTAAGTTTAAGGGATCCCCTAAGCATGGTTAGGGGGCTGTTAGGGGACAGTTTCTGTTTCACCGACAGTTAGGGGTCACCTAAATATTAAAAGGCCCCCTAAATTTAGGTGCTCCAAATATGGGCTTAAAGACGATCGTAAAACGAAATTTAATTTAGGGGTTAGTTTAGGGGACTTTTAAGCTAGGGATCCCATACGTAGGTGGTAGCTTATGGGCTGTTGGTGAAAGCGGGCATTCACATTAAACATGGAAGGGGTGATTATAGTGATTAAAAATTTGCATAAAATATACGCGTTTTATGAGTTACTACCGACTCACTCGCTTCGCTCAGGCTCTTCCCTAGATACGTAACGTTGGCTTAGTAAGAATTTTTTTTTCGATTTTTTTTTCATTAATATTTTCGATGTTTTAATAGTTATTCTGCTATTTGGGGCGGAGAAAAATCCAACAAATCAAAGATGATAAAATTCGGTCCAGCCGTTCTTGAGTTATAAATGGTGTAACTAATAATACGATTTTGTTTTATATAAATACTAGCGGAACCCGCGGCTTCGCTTGCGCTCAAACAACAAAAAAATCTCTAAAAGGACGTAGGTTTCATACAAACTTTTATCCCCTATTTTACCCCCTTATAGAATGAATTTCGAAAAACGATAAAACACGTATTTATTTCTTTGGATTGAAGCATTATTTGCATTAATACCAAGTTCCAAGTGATTCTGATCAGAAATATTTTTTTTGTATTGTATTATATATGTTACTCTCCAGCTCTCCAATTATCTTCGCACACCAAAAATTACTTAAATTCGTCACTCCGTTTTGATGTGAAAGAAAGACAAACAAACACACTTTCACATTTATAATATTCGTATACACTATATAGTATTACTAGCTGACCCGATACGCGTTGCTGTTGCAAACATATGAAAATCGTTAATTTTGCAATAAAAAAGGAAATAATCAGGATAAAAAATATCCTATCTCTTAAGTTGTAACAAAACAGAAATTTTGAAAAAAAATACGTTAAGATCGGATAAGTAGTTTTGCAGTTCATCCCGGACCAACATCGTGACACGAGAATTTTATATATTAAGATGTCACATGTTATTAAATATACGTAAGAAATTTTATGAAAAGCCATTATGTTTGATTTATATTTTGTTAGAACGTTAAAATATAAGGTTAAAGGTTAAGTATTTTATATGTCTTTATAATAAACTAGCGACTCACAATCGCTTCGCTAGGGGTTCATCCCTAGCTTGCTTCCCAATAAAACTGTCATCCCCTGTTCACCCCCTTAAGGTATGATTTCCGAGTAAAAAAGTACCCTATGTCCTTCCTAAGCTTCTTCTCTTCTAATTAGAGAAGAAGTTTAGGAAGGAAAAA